AGTGACGGTGACATCCTTGTACTAAAAATGAACGATCTTATAGGATACAATCCCATACTTATAAACTCGCCCCAAGTTTGTGTTACGTTATTGTGGAAAATTATAGTCTTTGCTGAGTGTTTTAAACCTCAAAAATAAGTTTTGGATAGCTCCTGTGTCGATCCGAATAGACAATTTGGATGGATGTCTACAAAAAAAGACCGTTTTCTTTTGATATAAGGAGGTCACTACTATTGTTGATTGTTAGACATAACAATAGGTGGTTCGAGAAATGTCATTGACTAACAAGAAGTTCAAAATAAAATATCTCGAATGTTATAACATACATCAATCTGCGGATTTCACATCTAATGATTAAGATTAATTGTCACCTCTGTATACCAAAAGTGAATGGTCTTATAGTATAATTCATTGCAGAGAATCATATGCTACTTGTTGCTACTCATTTTACCCCATAGTGACGTTTGGGAAATTTATGCACAGACCGGTTTAAATATGCGACACTACTCTTTGGTTCATATCTTCAAAAATTTCACAGCCTTTTATTTTTTATTTTTAATTTTATTTTTCAGTCTTTCCCTCGGGGTTTGACGTTGTAAACATCAAACCATTTTATCTTCTTTTTTATTTTTTCACTTTTTGGCATTTGTGGAGTTGGATGAGAATTCAGACTACCCAATTTCTTGAGCAGTCCATGTTTCAAACATTGGCCATGTACACCTTAAAAAAAGAAGAAAAAAGCTATGTACTGGTCCAATGTATGGAACATAGGATAGCCCCATACACAAGAACATATTAGATCATAGGGCAGTCCAAAATGTTTCAAACATTGGAGCACCTTAGAAATTGAGCGATTGATATCTTATCTATCGGGAAGCCCCACAAATTCCAAAACATAAAAAGATAAAGTGGTTTGATATTTGAAATATTGAACAGAGGAAAAAACTGGAGAAAAAAAGAGGGACCTTGTCATGAACTTTCCAAAAATATGGATCATAGGGTTATTTAAAAAAGAGTGTGGTTTGTACAAGGTGCCCACCTTATACTATACAAGTAAGGCGCACCTCAAAACTTTGTTGGAAGATGTAGTTTCGAGCCAAAATCCTTATGATGGCTTAAAAATACAAGTTCAACCCCTAATTATGAAAAGTAAAATCTTAAAAGTACCATAGATAAATAAATATGTAAACACATGAAAATCTTGAAAATAGACAGTCCAGATAACTTATTACAAGATGAACTAAAGTAAATCTGTAAACACATGAAAATATTGAAAATAAACAGTCCAGATAACTTGTTACAAGCTGAACTTTTTTAAATACTTGAATATTTTTTTCCCTTTCTTTGTATCTATTCATTTGAAGGTTGAGATGATCAATTAGAAGGGTTTCCGACTTTGGAACACTATTTTATACTCCAATTTTTAAGTGCACCTTACTTCTATAGTATAAGGTTGCACCTTATATAAACTTTTTGCTTCAAAGAATTTAACCCAGTGCATACTAGATTTCTTGATAAGGATTTGAGAAGAATTTGATGTGATCGTCATGCCTATATTGTGTATTACTGCAGTCCCATCTCTATCTTCCATCAATCAATGATGAGGGACGGTATAGATGATCGGTTAACAGAGGAACTGTTAGATATAGGTCATCGAACAAATGGCATGCAATGGGCAATAACAACCCTACGATCGCTTCCTTTTCATTTCTTTCGCTAATCCATTTTAAAACTTCTATGGAGCACTTCTATTTTGTGGAGATCAAGCTTTAAGCTTGAAAGATAAGTTTGTGTTTTTTTAAGTAAGCTTGAGTCTTGAGAAAATTTTGAATGATATTTTGGTATGTATGAGAAGGCTTATGCATAAAATAAGAAAGGATAATATTATGACATATTAATTTTTTATTTGAATTAATTGATGGGAAAATGGTTTAGAAAGTGGGGGATAATGGTTTAGTACCTTCCATGGGATGTTGATGGCCAATCTATGTAATGGAGAGCTCAAATCTCTCATCCCACAAATCACCCAAGTTCAATATTGCATATTCAATTTCACATGAGTGGCAAGCCAAATAAAATCTCTCATCCCACAAGTCACCCAAGATCAATAGGGTATATTCAATCTCACATAAGTGGCAAGCCAAAGAAAACCCTTGGAAATCCTAATCTTGATCAAGTACTATAAAAATAGATTGTCTCTACTCAAAATCTCTACACCTTATCTTTCTATCTCTATCTCTTAACCTACCAAAGGGGGCACGCCCCACTCTTTCTCTCTCATCTCATGGCTTCTCTCTCATGGTGTCTCTATCATGATCTCTTCTCTTTCTTTGGGGTTTAGACTATAGGATTGTAGTAGAAAAGAGAAACATCTTTAACTTTAACTAAATTGCTAAGGGGATTCACCTAGGGTTTGAGTTTATGATCAAAGGGGTTCATGCTCCATGGTGTGGCTTGTCCAAACTTGCTTTCCCATTTGAAATTGAAAGTTGACCATTAGATCCCATGCTATCAAAAGGTGGCAACTCGCTGTGGGGTATAAGAAGCCCGATTGAGATAATCTTCGGCACCATCTTTTATTTATTCCATATTTATTTATTATATATTTTATTTTCAAGCATAGGTTGTATCTTTTCTTTGTTAAAGAAAAGTGTTGTTTTGAATGGCTTCAAGTTCTTGATATCCTATTGTATTATTTTTCTTTTATTTTATTTGAATTTGTTATATTGTAAAAAGACTTCTTGTGAGTGATCTAGACCATGAAGAAAGGAAAAGAATTGAAAGCAAAAAAAATATATAATATAGTCTGGCTAGATCACACGTGTCCTTTCATAATCCTATGAATTTTGAATGAAA